GGGCATACCTCATCAACAAGGGTACCTGCATGATCAATGTTTATATACCTAACCCTGAAGTGTACCCCACATCTTTATAATAAAAAAAAAATTTAAGAGAGAATCTGACTCAAAAAACAACAAAGCAAACAAACAATAAACAAAAGAATAAGAGGACATATACCAGTTAGTACTGCAGTTGCCACTGTCAACATTTTATCTGCTATGTTGAATGAGCTCACTGGTTTTAGAATTATCAAAATTAATAAAGTCACATTCATATTTGCTTAAAAAAAAAGAAAAGAAAAAAAAAAAGAAAGAGCCTCTGGTGATATATGAGATCAGGCTACCCAGGACAGTAACTATTTTTGGAATGAGAATTACCAATTTTAAGAAAGAAAAACATTTTTAACAGATTCATGGAATCTGTTGGTGGACTCAAAATTAAACCATGGTGTGACTGTCAGACATTCTCACCTAGTGCAATCCTCCCTGTGGGCTGTGGAGGGGGTCCAGTCAGCCCTTGGCTCCCCAAGCATCTTCAGGGCCGGCCACCTGGGCCACAACTTGGTGTAGGTCGATTGTGGCCATGTTCTAATGCCATAAAGTGAAGGCCAGGCCCTGCTGAGAGATTGCAGGCCTCTTCCCACCTGTGATTCTGGTTCTAAGAGCATCAGTTGAACAGACGCAGGTACAGCCCCGAGGATGGCGTGGAGGGGCTCGTGATCTCATGCCTAATGCTAGCCTCATCTCCTTGCTGACTCTAATATCCAGCTTTCTACGAAATGTGGCACGAAGAGAGAGGCAGAAAGGTGTCCCATATCTCAGAATGGGGAATCCAGAAAGCCCAAATGCTTCTGCCACCACATCTGAGGACTCTGGGAAGGCCCCCTGCTAAATGCTGCAACTCCTAGATGGAATGCCATTTGGAATGTCTGTAAGTCATGTTGGAATTCTCCCGAGAAGGATCTTCAAGCCAGATGGGCAAGAAACCAGCAACTGAAGATTGGATTTTTTTAAGTGACTAATGCCTAAATATATTTTTTAACTCACTTACTGGTTTTGTGAAAAAAAAGACAGAGCTTTGGAGAGATGTCGAAACTGACCAGAACCTGGCAGAGAACTCTTTATCTCTCAGAAGATAAAAATCTTAAGGCAAACTGAATTTTAACTCATATATAACATGGATGTCTTATTCACACAATTTCTCCCAGGTTACCTTGTTCTCAGTCAGTCCTGAGTTTGGGCCACATGGGGCCATAACTCACCGATCATGTCCTGAGCCTGGATGGGAGGTGTTATCTCTGACGGGTCACTCAGGCCGTGCTTGTTTGCCGACAGAACTCGGAACACGTACGACTTCCCCTCCCCAAGATCGAAGACAGCATACCGCGGGGACCTCACAGCCGTCTGCGCATTGACCCGCTGCCAGCTGCCACTGCCCACCACGGACTGAACAGAGACATGAAATGGGTGGTGAAAACTGAGTGCTCTCAGAAGCATGTGATAGGAAAGACTCCGGTTTAACCAACAAATCCCACCCCGGGCCACCCATTCCATCCTGCACACAGAGGCAGTCCCTGTATCTTTTTTTCTTTTTTTTTTTTTTCTGAGTTGGAGTCTCACTCTGTCACCTAGACTGAAGTGCAGTGGCTGCTCCCGGCCACTGCAGTCTCAACCTGCTGGGCTCTGGTGATCCTTCCACCTCAGCCTTCCAAGTAGCTAGAACTACAGGAGTGCACTACCATGCCAGGCTAGTTTTTGATTTATTGTAGAGATGAGGTCTCGCCAAGTTGCCCAGGTGAGTCTCGAACCCGCAGGCTCAGGCAATACACTCACCTCAGCCTCCAAAGTGCTGGGATTACAGACTGAGCCACCGAGCTCGGCCAGTCCCTGCATCTTTTTGGAATTTTATGAAAAGTGATGCCTGATTGGAGAAGTAGGTGAGAAATTACCCAAAGTTAAAAATGTTTACTAATAAAAATGTTTCCATTAAAGTGAATAATTAAACCATAGGAAACGTAAGGGAATCAATACATAGGCTTGTTACTAGTGTTACTCAAATGGAATGAATTGCAAATAATTAAAGATAATTCAGGATACATTTGTGAAATTCCATCGTAACTCAGTTGTTCACATTTCAATATGTTTACCATATTATAACTACTTACAGCAGTGAGAAAGTGACAGCAATCTAAATATCCACCAATAGGGGAAGACACATTATGATAAGTTCATAGATTTAAAAATATGTGGCCACAGCACCACTGTTACATCGTTTGTAGGACTTTGAAGATTTTTTTCAACTATGACCCACAATCCAGCAGTGGGTCACCAAATCAGAGCTGTGATTTGCACTTTTTTTTTTTTTTTTTTTGAGTTAGGGTCTCACTCTGCTGCCCAGGCTGGAGTGCAGTGGCATGATCACGGCTCACCAGTCTTGGAATCTTGACATCCTGGGCTCAGGTGATCCTTCCACCTCAGCCTCTCAAGTAGCTGAGACTACAGGCATGCGCCAACATCCCCAGCTAATTTCTTTTATTTTTTGTAGACACAAGGTCTCCTTATGTTGCCCAAGCTGGTCTCAAACTCCTGGAGTCAAGCAAATCTTCCACGTAGACCTCCCAAAGTGATGAAATTATAGACATGAGCCATTGTACCTGGTGTACAACCTGCATTTTTTTTTTTTTTGAATTGGTGTCTCACTCCATCACCCAGGATGGAGTACAGTGGCACACTCACGGCCACCACAGCCTCGATCACCTGGGCTCAGGCAATCCTTCTGCTTCAGCCTTCTGAGTAGCCTGAACTACAGGCATGCGCTATCATGCCCGGCTAATTTTTTGATTAATTGTAGAGATGAGGTCTTGCCAAGTTGCCCGGGCTGTTCTCGAACCCGAGGCAATCCTCTCACCTCGGCCTCCCAAAGTGAGCCACTGCACTCTGCCTGCATTTTGTTATTTTAATGCAATAGGACAGACCAGGTTAAAGGAAGAGAGACTACATTAATAAGGTTATTAATGAGGTTATTATTTTTTTAATTCTGTTGGTTACATATTTGTGTACGTGCGTGTTTGTGTTTGTGTGTATATGTGCATTTGCGGGTTCACAGGGCTGCAGTATGCAATGTGTTCTGTATTTCTTTAGCTGTGTTCTGGTCAAAGAGCCTCCTCCAAGCTGATGATCCAGTAATTGTCTTAAAGTTGCCCACGCCATCTCATGTGAATTCCCTCGACAAGATCGCCACCTAGTGGCCGACCTGTGCACAAACATCTCGCGAGGGCGAACCGTCCTGCTGCTTGGGGGGAACACGGCCCCCATCCCTGAGAACCCCGGAGTGTTGCAGCAGGAAGGAAACGTGTAGCTCTCTCGAGATCAGGCCTTCAGAGGACAGAGGAGAGCAGTAATCCCCAGAAAACCCAAGCGTCTCGCTGCCAGTCTTAGTGGTGAAACCAAAGACACAGACCCCTGCCAGTTTCCATCCCAGAGCGCCCCTCCTGTGGGGTATCTCATCGCCCTAACTCCATCCTAGGTAGCCCACAGTCTTAACTAACTCCATCTTGGTTAACTCACTTGCCCTAACTTCATCCCTATTGTCAGTGAAGTGTCTGTGAGGACTAGTAAATCTACTCGTTGTTAAAGCCCAGCAAACCCAACACGAGAAGACACAGAAACATCCTTTCCAGGACAGAGACACAGAGTACCTTCTCAATGAAGTACATAAGCGGGTCCTTGCCGCGGGGGCTCGGTGGGTCCCAGCTGAGGACAATGTAGTTCCTGCTGATTTCTGAGGCATGCACGTTGCTGGGAGGTCCCGGGATCTGAACCTCACCTGGGGGAGGAAGAACCCAGTGAGTGCTGGAAGGCCCACCTGCTCCTGCCTGTCCTTGGGACACCGAGAACTGCCTTGCTTCTTTTTGGGGAAAGCAAACAAACCCCCAAGATTAATTTTTCAGAACCCAAGTGTCATGCCGTGTTGGAGATCATCCGATCGTTCTTGTTTCTGATCAAGCCTAGGCCCAGTTCTCAAGAACATCTCATCTGAATTCCTGCTGGAAAAGGGAAAGGATGTCCTAGAAGTCAGGCATCTCACCAGCACTGGCACTCTGGCTCTCCTGGGAATGCATGAGGAGAAAGCACCGGCATTCTGTCCACTGCAGAGTGAATTTGCCCCGTCTCAACCGATCCTCTCTGCTTGCTTCATGTGTGTCCCCTCAATACATCTAAATTATACATGAACTCCTAGAGCACCCCATTCCTCTCTCAGAAAGCCCATACCACGTTTGTAAGCACTGTGTTCTATGCCTGTGCATTTGGAATTCTGAAGTGCTATTGATAAGCCTTTTGAAAATAACCATGATAGAATATTTGTAATCAGAGATACTCCGTGTCCCTCTCTTCTGGCATATGTCTTTTTTTTTTAATGATGTGAGTTGCAGGGACTCCTGGTTGAATTGATAGGTGATTGTCATCAGGAGTGGGCGATTTCCAGCCCCACAGTCCTTGAAATCGTGATACAAAGTATCACGAGCATCCAGTTAGATTAGCACATGATTAAAAGGGCTGGAAGCTCCCCCAGGACATCACAGGCCCTTCTCAGTATCCAACTGCTCGCTCAGGACCCTGCTGCAGGCGAGGAATTGAACAGCCACGTGGAAACAGCACAAAACAAGATTGGGTTTCCCTTCATGAGACTCCTGTTACAGTGGTGACGCTCTAGAGGCAGTGCAGGCCTGATTTGGAATCATCCCAGCAAGTGGGCTGGATTTCAAATCGGGAGTCAGACCGTCCTCAGGAAAGCACAAGGAGAGCTTGCAGGGACACGCTACTGTCCTGCTCTCAACCTGTACACTCTGTCCCCTCCTTGAGACCCACAGAGGAGGACGCTGAAGAGAGAAGGCGCAGAGAACCCGTCTTTGCCAATGTGTGTCAAAATTCCAGAGCTGAATCATGGTTTATCTCAGAGGTGGTGACCCAGGAAGCAGGCCCAGGGGACAGCAGGAAACAGGGCAGGTAATACGATCATGAGTGGTCATGATCAGTGCTGCAAACCCTCTTCCACACACCTCCAGAACCATCTTGCTGCTTGGCTTTGAGACCCAGAGAAAGCGGAACAAGAAACATTTGCTTTGACACCAAGGTTAGTGGTAAGAACCCGATTTCTATCAGCAGGGAATCCCCAACTGGGGCAAGACACTTACGATACTGACTCTCTTCCTCCCCCGAGGACCAGCTAAAAGCCCACCTCCACCTGTGTGCAATCTACTTATGTAGTAAGTTCCCACTTGTTCCCCACGATTCAAAATCAAATCAAATCAAATAGAAAGATTTTCTTCGTCCTTATGGGCAATCACATGAGCCTTGCAGATTTGCAGAGGACAGAGGAGAATGGGACTCAGTGAGCCAAGGACATGGCCGGGGGCACAGTGACATCCATGAGTGGCATGTTTGCATTTGAGAGAGTAAGTAAAGGAAAGCCACATGGAATGAGAAAACATAGCTAAATGCTTTCTCCAGGGTGGCAGCGCCACCCTCGGCCTCTGCTGTGGTTCAGAGGTTCCTGCAGGCCTGCTCTCATGGGTCGGGTCCATGCTGTGTGAAAATGGGCAGATACAGACCTACACACCTGTTATTAGTATTATTATTATCTAATACCAATAAAATAACTATTAGTATATAATATGAGATCGTTATATATGTTATTCATATTACATATGTTATTGTCTAAAATACCTTCACAACCATTATCTTGTTTCGTTCTTTTCATGTATGGGGACTCCTTCCACTTAGAAATGCAGAAAGAGAGTTCAGAAAAAAATGAGACAGCGCAGCTGCTGGGTGGCTGGCTTGGGGGTCAATGCCTGGAGTCTTCTGGTTCCAGCTTCTGCGTTTTGTCCTTCATCAACTCAAGGAAAAACCACAAACCCCACAGCCTTACTGGGATGTTTTCTCTACAGCAATGAAACATGAAGGTCTTTGGAAGCATGCAGAACCCCCAGGATGACAGAATTCAAGGGGCTGCACTCGACAGATAAGAACTGCAGAACTCAGAGCACCCGGTTAATTAAACAGGTGAGCCGTAGGTGGCCTTGTCCAGGACGGTGCAGTGCACACACAGGCACGTGATTGGAAGAGGAGAAAGTGGTCGAACCAGAGAGTAAGGTCACTCTCATTCTATTCCGCAATAGCCTGTTCTGGCCTTTCCAAGAATAGACTACCTGTTTTTCAATGGAGCAATTCAGAAGATATTGGAAAAGTTGAGTGACATGAAGGAAAGAGCACTGATGGGAGCATTGTTATTCATTTAAATGTTTGAAAGAAGACACTACCCAGGATTAAACTGATTAGGAAAACCTAGCCAAAAGTCAAAAGCTGCAGCAGAGTGATTTTTAACCAACAAAAGTAATGAGTTTCTGTTTCATTCAAACAAGTGGCATTTCATTTACCAAGTCTTTTGTAACTAAAGCAATGTCAAAAGAAAAAAAAATCAACTTATATAAAGAAAAGAAATATGGGTAACAATGAGAACTTCCTAATAGGTAATTTTTGAACCCACAAATGGTTTTTTAAAACATTCTAGAACCTCTTTCTTTCTCTAAAACCTTTTTAAAATTAGAGCAAGTGTTCATTGTTTAAAATGACTGAGGTGAACACATGAACTTTCCAAACCCTTATATCAACGTAGCGCAATTTCAATTTCATACCCAGTTTGTTTTGGACCATGGAAATTGCCCGTTTGCCACACACAAAGCCTCAACCAGAGAATTGAAGCCATAAGGCTGAACTCCAGGCAGTACTAGCATCCCAAGTCAAATGATTTTTCCATCTAAGTGTCTCGCCCTCTGCCTTTTCCCAGAGAAGGAATAAATGCTGCCATGTTCAAGAACAGAGCAAACAAAGAAAAGGCACAGGCCAGGGATCAAAAAAAACCTACCTTTAGTGATAGGAAGGAGACACGAGAATACACAGGAAAAAATACAATCTGTAACCTTAGTCCAGTGAAAAATAAACACTACTGTGTATGAAATCGAACATCCATTTTGTCAATTGGCAAACCAAGTCTTAGGAAATGTGTTATTTCTTTATTGGCATTTAATGAACAGGAAGCTATATATATATATATATATATCCCATCATGTCTGTCTGCCTATAAAAAGATAGTCGCCCCAAAAAGGCAGGGTTCCTGCCTTGGAAAGTTTTATTAGATTATATTATTTCATGACTCCGTTGTTTTTCATAGTGGCCTTTACAAGATGCAAATTTCATCACAGATATCAGACATTTATACAGCAAGTTACACCATCTCATGGTGGATCATTTCACCAGATTTGGATTCCTACACATCCACTCATGAGCCCATTTGCTCAGCAGGAGTGAGAAGGAGAAATACCTTTACCTCTGGCATGCCAGAAACTCACATTCTATACAGGCCTGTCTGCCTCAGGAATGTCTTCTCTTCTAATATAACTTGGAGCCATTTTTTAAATTCATTCAAATACCTATGTTTTCATCATCAAAAAAATTGCCGATAATTTATCACACACTGGGCAATCAATACTAGGCAAGGCAAACAAGACAGTTACTTAGGAAGTCATAATAAGTCAGGCCTCCCCAAAGTTTTTGCTTTTGCTCCTCATTTGCTGGGCCGCTTCCTGGTTGCTGAGTTATTCTGGAAGCAGAGGTTTTGACTAAGGTTTTAAATGTTACCTTGGGATTGACCAGAACTCTTAAGGTCTTCCTCTGGGAGTTGACTGCCCAGCATTGGGATATGTGTCTGTTTTGAGGTCCTAAAAACATCTTTATGGACAGAAGCTATAATGCATGGATACCACCTGGGGACTTACCTATTTCAAATATGAATATCCATCAATAAAACTCTCCTTAGTGTACAGCTGTCTAGAGGAAAGAACATTTGGGGCTGCAGCAATTTTAAAGAAAACTCAACTGATTTGGAATCTTACTTTTTAAGTTTTCACTACTTGCATTCTATGAACTCTAATTATAAGTCCAGCTAAAATCTTTGTATTCTTTATTAATAATGTTAGATTCTCTTTATTAGCAAATCATTCTAATGATCTCTGGAAAAAATACTAAGAAGAAGTATTCACGAAGTCAAATATGAATCCGGGAAATATAAACTTTCAACCAAAAACATCATTTGATAGAACTCAATCCATTTCAATTAAAGTGTCAGGAAGACAATTTCTGCTTAAAAAAGTAAAATGAGACCGGGCTCAGTGGCTCAGCCTGTAATCCTAGCACTCTGGAAGGCCAAGTGGAGTGGATTGCCAGAGCCTGCGTGTTTGAGACCAGCCCTGGCAACTTGGCAAGACCTCATTTCCACAATAAATAAAAAATTAGCCAAGTGTGGTAGTGCCTATAGTCTATAACTATAGTGGTAGCCTATAGTTCTGGCTACTTGGAAGGCTGAGGCAGAAGGATAGCTGGAGCCCAGCTGGTCACACTAGGGTGGCCCTGAGTGTGCCACTGCACTCCAGCCTGGGCAACAGAGTGAGTGAGACTCCAATTCCAAAAAAAAAATGTAAAATGAGATACTATCCCACTAATGGAATCTGTGAGGAAGGACCCCACATCAGCCAATAATCAAATCTTTACTTTCGTTTGTTTTCTTCTCAGTAAGTTCTGAAAAGAATGCATTCATAAACCCCCAAATGAAAGACGGAGACTAAGACTTCCTGCCCCTTGATTCTTTTTCCCACTGTCTCTTCCTGTCTTGCTTGGTTTTTTAACTTCTGCAGGTATTAAGCTTATAGGTTTGACCTGAAGCTTTTACATGCATAGAAGGTGTCCATTGTGTGAATATTGTCTGTCCTTCCTCATGTCTCTAATTGCAGTTCTAAACCCTGGGGTACAAGCAGCCCAGCTTGGGGAGGAGATAACACGCTACTCACCTTCGAGTTCGTCCTGGTAGATTACGATATCCTTCTCTCCTTCCAAATGAATTGCTGTAGAGAAAGGGTTGACACTAAATGTGACATCCAAAGATGTCCTAAAGAAAGCATGTGTTTCTTCTAATTCAGTGAACGGTCCAGATCACCTCTGCAAGAGGACTGCAACACACACAGTGCTCTGGCACAATCAGAGCTGGTATTTAGACATGTCCCTGGTAAGACTTAGTGCTTCTCAGCTCTCCATGGTAGATTCAAACGGCCATGCAGGTGAGGAAAATATAGTGGCTCACTTAAAAACATAATGAAGGGCCCAATCTCATTAAGAAATTTGTGCCATGTGAAATTAAAATTCACAAATAGAGTGGCTTGGCTTCAAGGCCTTCCGATTCTCATTATGTGTTGGAATTATATCACCAATGGACTGAGAAACTCCAATTCTGAGCCAGTTTAACCAGATTCCAGTCGAGAGCTCTATGGAGGAGAAGCGCCTTCGTTTTAAAGTGTAAATGGCAGCCTGGCTGTTCCCAGTCCTAAAGCGATATTGACGGAGATATCAGAGAACAGTAAAACATCCTGAGCCACGCTCAGCGTAAGACCACACTCTCATGGCTCACATACCATTTGAAGGGAAAGAGAAAGAGCAAATCACACACATGACCCAGAGTTCCTCGTTGGAACTTAAGCTGTGGGCCACCTACCTTGTAACCTTCTGAGGTCCATGGGGTCAAGTGCAGCCACCGCATCAGAGACCTTGGAAGGCCGGCTGATGCCCGCATTGTTGACCGCCCGCACACGGAATATGTAAGACCTGCCTTCATAGAGCCCCGTCACAGGATATTTGCAGATTTTTATGGGTGCATCATTGCACTGAACCCAATTGTTAGTGCCCACTTCACATCTTCAAAGAAAAAACAAAAACAGAGAACAACAAATGTGGCCATCTACTAAATTTATACAAGTATATATTACTATATATACATACACACACACGCACAAATCAATTATAACAGAAAAATAGCTCACACCAGTAAGATCTATACTGTTAAAATGTCGACTTATGAAAACAGTAGTATAAATGAACTTTAAAAGATAAAGCTGTTTAGAAAACATGATATAGATAATAGTATATGTACTGTCTATGATGAAGGTAATATACATCTCTGAATCTAAATAATTTATAACTGCTTTCAACCACATTTAGGCGAATTCTCCTCTGAAAGCTATGTAGATCAACGCCTGACAGTCCTTTCTCCGATGTATGTGATGTCAAAGGTGCCCCTGCGCTACAGCTGTCTGACGCCAGGATTGCAGAACAGGCTCAGCCGTTCTGGCCTTGGTACATCCCCTCTCCACCCCGCCAAGGTCACATGTTCTGCGGGAATGCTGGCTTACAGTTTACTGGGATGAGGTCAGGATAGTTCTGTCTAAAATGCGCCTCATGGGAAACTCAGAAGTCTTGAAAATATTAAGTCCTGACCAGGCACCTGGACATGTAGAAAAGATGACTCTCCATTTTCACAGGTTGAGAAATGTAAGTACAAAAACTTGGTTAAATTCCCAGGAGAAAAGAGCAAGTTGAGAAAAGCAGTCGTTCAGATTACTTTGACCTCAGAGTTGCATATCATTTTAGAAACAACCAACTCTCTCTCCCCCTAAACGTCCAGATTTTTCAATGAAAGTTCTCTGAACCACATGTCCTGGCCTGATTTGGCCCAAAACAACAACGTGATCAAAACAGAAAATCTAGCAGGAAAACCATCCATTTAAGTCAACAACTGACAAGTTTCGGAGTCAGGAACAAAGGCAGAGAAAAGCAGCTCCCCTTTCAGAAGGTTCTATTGCTTTAATGTGTTGGGGGTTTTTTCTGTTTTTTAATGAGAGGGAAGGAGTGTGGATTGTTAACTGAGACAGGGCATGAAAGTTTCTGCCAGTACGGTTGGAAAAATTATCAGATGTCACAGGAGAATAGAAGGCAGTTTTTATTTTTTAGTTTTGTTTTTAATTCAAGGTAAGCCCGGAACAATACACTCTGCAGATCTGTCTCTAGAATATCAAATATTACCTTGACAGTGAATGTTTTAGCTAAACAACAAGCATTGTTGGAGAGAAGATAATTTAATCAACATATCCCAAAAGACCAAATTGTGTATTTTTTCTGAGACATCCACCTTATTTTACTGTGTTTTATATACATATAAAAATTTAAATCCCTATCAGGAACCTTCCTCATATGCCCGCTGTCTCACTTCTAAATCCATTTTCTTTAAATATAATTTCTTCCAATAATTGAAATTCGTGTTTGAGGCATAAATTCAGGAAATCCATTGGCTCTGCTCAGTATTCTTGCCAGCTCTGAGCACTGCATCAAATAAGGGAAATCAAGCAGTTAAACCTCAGTTGGGTTTAATGATTACCCAAATTTAAATAGACAACACAAAGATAAGTGCTGATATTTTGTATTTTAAAGCTGCAATTGTTTCTACTTGGAAACAAGAATAAAACCTTATTACTCGACAGAGAAAAGAATAGGACTTTGGCATGAATGAGTGGTCATTCTTTGTGGCCACTTTGACTGTCTTTCAGAAGGGAGGGATGGGAACAGTTCTGGATGTTAATCTTGCTAAACCAGAGCCCTCTGCCCACCGGACACAGGCCAGAACCTCAGCAGGACCCCAGGGCCCAGAGCTGTCTGCAAATGTCAGAGGGCGTTTGTTACTGGGTGTGGGACAAGCAAACAGCTCCAACTTCAGCACAAGAAACCCCATGTGTTACACCAGGTTCGGCCTATATTTGGCCATGTTTACCAACTACCTAGCCAGGGCGTTACATAACCAAACAGCGATGCACCTAGAGCCAATCAGGAATGGGAGCATCCACTTGTGTCTAGAAAAAGATCCAAATATGCCAGCCATCAGGAACATTCCATCTCTGGAAGAAGGCAACAGCCACTCACCGATCAATGAAATAGCCGATGACCGGACTCTCAAAAGTAGTGTTGGGTGGCTTCCAGGTCACAATGACATAATCTCGGTTGGCGTCATGGCACTTCAAGTCCATGGGTGCTCCAGGGGCCCCCGTGACCAACGGATCAGCGTCTTGAGGTGGGGGGAGAAGAGACACAGGCTCACAGTCACTTAAAGCATGGGGTCACTGCAGAGCCATCCACAGCTCTTCCAAACTCAAATCCTGGTTGCTCGAAGCTACCCACTGTTGAATCCCATGTTGAGGTTACTAGGATATTTTTTGACTGGTGGAATGGTGAAAAGAAATATAAATATCTGTATGAGTTTTAAAAAAAACTCAAAACACTGAATCCTCTGTAAAGCACTCATGTGTATGGTCTTTCATCATTGAGTTACAAATTAAAGTACACTTTCTCATAAAGGTACTTTATGTTGTCAAAAATGTACTGATAAAACATGATAACCACTTACCCTTTTTAACACCTGAAAAACATTACCTTGGACACTCTTAAACTCCAAAATCCTTTGAAATTTTGGGATCCAATTTTTTTTTTTTTTTTTTTGGCAAGTCATGAGCAGATGTTTGGGTCAATATTCCGCACATTCATTACACAGACTATACTCGTAATGCAATTTGGTTTTGTTTTCAAAATTTAATTACAGCTGCACTGAAGATCAACAGAGCTACTTAGGAAGTTAACACACAAAACATTTAATGTTCTTATCTAAAATGTGTATTTACACAGTAACCATGGCCGTTCCGTTATACATTCCTAGCAGTGCAAACATTACACAGTTTTTACTCAAGTATTCTCAGCATATTAAAGGCTAGGGATGTCTTGACATTCAGCCAAATATTCTCTCTCACATTCAAAATCTTCAGAAAGTCATCAAAATGGTTAAACTCCCCCATGTTTGCATTATCTTCTCCCTGTTGGTGGTGCTGAGTGAGCAAAGCAGTTGAAGCTGTATTGTATTTATTGCATTTTTATGGGGCAGAACATTGTGCCCGAAGGCAAGCACAGAGGATGCAAGGGACATTTTAATGCCAACCTAATAAAAACGGTAGAACTTTGTGGAAGTATCTAAAATCACAGACTTGCAAGCTTATACTGTCTTATGGGAAGAGGGGGAAAGTGTCTGTTTTACATTTCTTCTTTCTACTTCATTAAGATAAAATACTACCTGAGGATACAGCCCTTCCTTTAAGATCTGATCTAATGATGCAACATGGAAAAATAACATATTGAGGGCATTCTTAGGCACAGACCCCCTGGAGCTAGAGGAGGTGGAAAGGTGGGCCCCTGGGTCACAGGCTGGGCTGGCGCTGACCAGAACCCAGGACAAATCTGCCCCAGTGGCCACTGGCACAGGAGCGCCCTGAGGCCTACCCAGCAGGTGCAGCAATGCCTTGGCAAGGAGGCTACCTCTATACCCGGAGACTACAGAGATACAACCCACGCAGATGCAGGGATGGGATCAGGGCAGATGCCGAGACAAGCAAGAATGGGCCCTTCTGAGCAGGGCACAGTCCAGAACACTGTGACTTTGCAAAGGGAACTCTCGGGCTCCGGGTTCAACGAACTTAAATCCCAGCACCTCCACATTGGACACGTTCCTCTGCCTCTGAGGCTCAAGGGATTCATTAGGGAAACTGAGAACAGCATTTCCTTACAAAATGGTTCTAAGAATTTTAGATTAGATATACACATGTAATGTCTATGTATGTATAAGACAATATATACACATTTATATGCCCTTATATAATAGGCATTTATATATCTATAAATATATAAATGTAAATATATACATAGAGTATATCATGAATGCTCTCTTCCTTTTCATAAACTTGGATTAACGGAAACTTGCTCGTAATGAGGATTGACCATATGCTGTGCACTGAGCACAGCACGCAATGTGAAGATCTCGGGTATTATTGGCCCCGTGATTATGACCACCTCAATCATGATCTAACTGAGGGTTGTGGTGCCAATAACAGCAGTAGGCATCATCGGCATCATGTCTCCTCCTCTGAAGTCTCGGTCCAGAGGGGGAGAGTGGTGCTGGTGGGAGACACAGGATGCTCTTTGACTGGATTTCCTAAGGGATCTCCTCTTTATCCTGGAGCTAAATTCCCTCAGGAATGAGTAAATCTGGTGTTTTCAATCTTAGGAATCACTTGATAAATTCTCACAACTGTTTGAGTGATCAGAGAATCAAAACTGTGGCTCTGACCTACTCTGAACCGTGTCCCATCCAATACCATCTGCTCATGGCCTGCTGTGCCCTGACATGCTGGTGCACCTGGGGCGTGTCCATGCCACACCAAGGCATCTCCCTGGGGAAGAAGTCCTCTCGCGACCTCCCCGCTCCTCCCTGGCACCTCCTTTCCCACCAAGGCCCCTCACAGCACCCGCCTTCCACACCTCTGACAAACAGGAAGGCGCTGTGGTCACTGACGCCTCCACGTGACACGATCCTCAGTGTGTACAGGCCCTCGTCGTCCTTGTGCAGTTGGCTGAAGGACAAGGAGGCCTGGCCTTCCCCGTAGAACATCTTCGTCCACTTCGACTCCTTCACCAGCACATCTGCAAGAACATGGAAATGGAAAGTTAGTGGCAAAACCCTCCCACGAACCCAGGAGAACCGAGGGATGCTTGTGCCATCTCGAAGAGGGACAGGACTTTCAAGCCGGACAGCTAGGAGGGAGCACAGCCTGGACTGGGCAAAACCCTGACAGCCATGAAAAGCACACATACAAATGCGACATCAACAGAGGAATCGAGTTTGCAGAACACACAAGGCCAGCAGCATGTAAAGATGGTGTGATGCAGTGACCACAGGCTCTGTCCCCAGGGGATCCTGCCTCCCAGGCCTGCATTCTCCCTCTCACAGGTGCCTCCAGCAGTATCTGCACTGGAACTCCCTGCTCTGAGCGCAGAAGGTGCCCACCCAGCAAGGCGGACCTGGAGGAAGGCCTCTACTATTATTTTTAATATTATATTTTTCTACAAGAAAAGAATCAAAAAACCAATGGAGCAAAGGCAATGACACTAAAAATGCAAACTGTAAAAGAAGAAATGCAAATGATGAACACGCTTGTGGAAAAAAAACATCCAGCACTGGAAACCAAGGAAACACAAAATAAAATCACGAAAAATTGTTTTTCACCTGGGAAATTTGGCAGAATGAGAAAAGGCTACATGGGCAATTGGAAAGAGCAAACAGACACACACCCTCCCCTCTGGCGAGCGTGTTGTCACACGGGGTACAGGAGAGTGCAACAGATGCCCCCAAGGGGGCATGAGAATCCAAGAATGCGTCCCACTGTGATAAACAGAGGTGCGGTGAGGATTGTATTTCTGAATTATTTATGACAGAAAAAGCATAAACTAACTTAGATGTTCAACTGAGGGTTGTGGTGCCAATAACAGCAGTAGGCATCATCGGCATATATAAATATATAAATGTATAAATATCTATAAATATATAAATGTAAATATATACATAGAGTATATCATGAATATACTCTATGTATATATTTACATTTATATATTTATAGAGGGCAAGCATAGTGCGTAGCATGTTCATGGTACAGGACACAGTGCCTGGCAGCTGATGGGTCAAAGAATAACGGTTGTCATGGAAACATGAATATGGGATATCAGTGTATGAAAAAAAAGGCCTTCAAGTGAATACATAGTCCCTATTTTAATGCATATATATGTGTCCAGATGTATTTCATGCAGCAAAATGAGTTTAGTAATTTTGTGGTTGGAAAAAGAACAATTTGGGTTTTTTTGCAATAAACATACACTGCATTTGAAATAAGAAAAAAAAGAGGTACTTCTACATTTTTAATTTTCAAAAATTGGTATATATAAAACTTGACTGGTGAGTTCAGTAGTATGTGCCAAGAACAACTTATGCTCCATGTCGCTTAAGATGCCAGAGTCTCTGTGAGCAGCAATGGCAAATGTGTAATCAAAATAAATATTTTAAGTTATTTTATCTGGCCAGGCATTTATCATGCCTGTAATCCCAGCACTTTGGGATGCTGAGGCAGGTGGATTGTTTGAGCCCAGGAGTTTAAAACCAGCCTGGGAAGCATAGCCAAAACCTTGTCTCCAGGAAAAAAAAAAATCAGCCAGGTTTGGTGGTATGTGCCTGTAGTCCCAAACTCCTCAGGAGGCTGAGGTAGAAGGATCGCCTGAGCCCAGGAAGTCGAGGCTGCAGTGAGTCACGATGATCATTGTGACCATACCACTTGAACTCCAACCTGAGTGACAGAGGGAAACTCCAAAGGAAAAAAAAAAAGTTATTTTATCCATGTTTATCTTTCTTCCATAATGGTGTCAAATGATAATTGAAAGACTCCAAAGAACCATACTTGCTATGAAAGGAACGTTTACTGTATGAATTCCTACCGCACGTTCACTGTATTTTATAAATCCCTATCTCAAACCCCATAAGACTAGGCATTGTATGACTAGGTATTTTGTAAAGTTACAAAATGTTGACAGTGTTTGTACTTAGAACTTTGTTAAGTTTTTGTTTGTCCCATAATAACCATGTTAAATGAAATAACCAGTTTCTTCTGCTTCTGCAACTACTGCTGGCAGTGTGTGTGAATGTTAAGCAATAAGCCCCTCCCAGACATTCCTTTGTTTAAATTATGGTAGGCTCTGTGGCGCCAGCCACTCTTCTGGTGGGCTCTGTGTTGTTTCAAACCTGCTCGTACGCCGAAGCTGACTGAAACCATAGCTTATCTAACATTCCAGGAGGCTTAACTACCTCCCCTCCACCCGTTTGGCCGTTAGTAGTCAATCATGGGCAGCTGAGCCCGCACCCAAGCAAATCAAAAACGAACCAACCAATCTCAGGCTCTCCTGTCCCCTGACATCACCGCAGACCTAATTGAGAACTAATTATGCAAGGTCCGTGGACTTCGTTTTCTACATCATGCCCTCTTCTAGTTGGATAATGTCTCAAGCCTAGGAAAAACCAGTCACGCCCAGCCCTTCCCTCGCAACTGTGTATATAAACCACTTGCTGTACTAGGTCGGGGCTCTCGTTCCTGTACCGCTGCGCAGGTTACAGATGTGAGCCCAGGCTCGAGCCTGAATAAAGACCCTCCTGTGTTTGCATCGGAGTTGGCTCTTTGGTGGTCTCTCAGATTTAGGACTTTGGGGTCTAACAATAATAATTGTGTCAATTAGGAATTAGCACAGTATTTGATAGGGAGCAAGTACAATAAAAATACAATACAGAGCAACATTATGCAATGCAAAATACAATAAAAATTAATATATAAATAAAAAGTTAAAATACAGAAAAAGAGATTCATGAGAAGGAATGGCAAGGTAAGGAAATGAAATGGGAGAGAAGGCTCCCTCGTTCTTTCTGCCCACAACTAACTGGTATATTTTGCTATTCATTTCCTGGATAAAACACCATTGCCGTTACTACCATGTCCACAAAACTGCACAATTATCATAAAAGGTGAGGGTAAAAACACACGTGGGATGTACAGCCAAGGATCTTCTCCAAGGGACATGGGCTTGGAGGGTCATGGTAACAGGCATCCAAACAGGCTATGTGTCACATCTCCAAATAACCCAGCACAAACCCTTATAGTAAACTCAAAAGCAAAGGGACTGAAAGAAAAGAGAACAACAGTACTACTTAAGGTAGTTTTCCAGCTAGAGACACAGTACCTAACAGCCTCTTCCAGTGTAACATGCATCCAACTAGTTGGAAGAAATTTTCCTGAACTCAAGCCAGTTTCATCCTTGGCGTCATGGCATCACCATGACTAACCAGATCAGCCAAAAGTGGTCTAGGGTTTTCCTACAAGTGCCCAAGGTTTTCTCATCTGTGACAGCATCGGTGAGGTAGCTTTAGAGTTCTAATCCATTCTAACTTTGCCCACAATTTCAAATTTCCTGTTTGCATGCTTGGTTCTCCCCTCCTATTGGAGGGCTTCCGTGCATTGACTGACTTTGCCTTGGGGTTCACCAGCTACTTGGTGACTTCCAGCCCAATAATTTTAAAGAGTAAGAAATCTCTCCTGCATTTTAATGTCTAAAACTAAGCCATAGAAAATGGTCTCCCTTGGTTTCCATTTGAATAATAATGCTCATGAAGATGTGATTATATTGCTGATGTGACTGGTTTGTGACTAAATTCCCCACAACTACCATAGGATATAATTAGAAAAGAAAGAAGAACAGTCAGAAAAGCCTTTTGAAGATGTATCTTCCATTCAATTTGGTAGGGGTTTGTGAAACTGCCTTGTCACCAGAATTCTAGGCACTGCCCAGTCACCAGGAAAAGTTTTACCACTGATATCACCATGCCTTGGGACACTAGGAGAATGTTCCTCAAACCAACTTCACTTCTTACCAGAAATCTTTGCCAGCACAAAGAGCATCCCTCTCTCTCTCCTTTCCTCCCTCCCTCCCTCCCTGTCTCTCTTCCTTCCACCCTCCCTCCCTTCTTTCCTTTCTCCCTCTCTCTCCCTCCCTCCTTCTCTCTTTTGCTTTCTCCCTCTCTCTAGCCTTCTCTCTCTCCTCCTCCCTCCCTGCTTCCCACCCTCCTTCATTCTCCCCCTCCTCATATCTCTATCTCCCTCTTGTGTCAGGAAAAAAGTTCACACCACGGTTATAATTTGATTCCAATGGAAATTCCCTCACAACTCAGTCCTCATGCTCTGTGGACAAGGTCAAAAGTGCACTCTCTGTGCCTGGAACACGTGTTCATCTTTTTCTGACTCTGGGCTTTGGCCTTCCTCTTCCTCAGCTGATAGTCTTATCATCTTTCAGCAACCTTTTTCCCCATAAAGTTCTTCTTCATCGACCGAACCTGTTCTCTGGTTCAGCTTCTGCGGTGCATGCCGTCAGCACCATGTACTTGGCAACTGGTCAGTCTGGTTTGAGAACATTTTATACATGTTAAAAAGACATTGCTTTACACTTTGGTGTGTTTATCCCAGTAGATCATAAATATCTTATAGGCAGAGGTGGCATATATTTCTTTGTAATATTTTGCTTTCTGTTAGGTCCTGAGTAAAATATAGGTAAAATACACAGTGTGATTTAGCCCACAGAACATAAGTTTCCTCTAGAAGAAAGAGCTCCGAGAAGACGAGGGGAAGTTGACCTGTGTATTCTGCATGAATGTGAACACCCGAAGCTACTCGAGAGGATTAAAGTGATATTGCATTGCGGCGGGGGATACTCTGCTGACTGAAACAACATAGTGTAGTTGGCAGGAACATACACTAGGAATTCAGGCTGTAGGGGCTCTCAGCCCAGCTAAACCCTCCTGGGAAGAGCCCAAGAAACTTCCTCCTGAGCCTTCTCTGGAACATAGAGGTAACCGCAGACCCCTCCTACAGAGTCATGTGAAAGTTACCCGAGTTAGCACACTCAAAACTGTACACAGTACGTAAAAAGCTCTAACAAACATACGCTATTGTTTTAGTCAAGTAAAAACAATTGATGCTTCACACTCATGTTTAAAATCACGTAGAGACCCTTTTCACGGAGCTATAAAAATCTCTAAGTGACTCATCAAGGTGCAGGGACGTCCCTGTTAACCTCTCCAGGATTCTCCTGGACAAAATTCAAGGTCAATGACAGGCTGCCAAGTTTGCTCCTGTACCTCAGTTTGCTTTGCTGCCTGCAGCTAAGATGGTGACAGAGACAAAAGCCAAATCGACAACTAGTGTTTCAGGGACATATCCACCCAAACAATCCCCAGGTGTGTGTGTGCGACAGAGTGGACATTGGGCCTGGGTGGGACCCACTCACCATCACGGTACCACTCAACACGGGGCTGCACTCTCCTCAGGTCAGGCGTCACCAGCATTGTGCACTTCAGAGTCACTGTCTCACCTTCTCTTCTGAAGGTGACCCCAAATTTCTCCAAAAACTGAACGTCGAAGTGTGTGTACGGAATCACGGAGGACAGGGGCACTGCACGGAAAGAACCAGATATGTTAGGACCCATGGGCCAAGTGCTTTTACACGCAACTGACACACACCAGGACAGCACCACAAAAGCTTACTGTGTCACTTACACGTGATGCGTATTCCTCAAAAGAGCCATTATTCAGATTGAATGTTTGTGTCCCCCCGCCCAAATCCACATGTGGAAGCCCTAGCCCTCAAGAGGATAGTCTTGAAGGTGGGGCCTTTGGGAGATCATTAGGGTGAGAATAGGTCATGGATGGCTCCCATGATAACGTTGGTGTCCCTATGAGAAGAGAAAGAGAGCAAACAGAGCCTTTCTGCCCTGAAAGGACACAGCGAGAATACGTTATCTACAAGCCAGGATGCAGTCCTCACCAGTACCCAACCAGGCTGGCACCCTGATTTTAGACTTCCAGCCTCCAGAACTATGAGAAATAAGTGTCTGTTGTTGATAAGCCTCTAGGTGGTGGAATTCTGTGAAGGCAGCTCGAGCTAAGACAAACCACCTCTGAAGAATTAACAACAGTCACAAAGTCAACTACACGGAGTCATTAGATGAAGGACTGGGAGGAAGGCACCTTGGAACACAACCACATGTTAAGAGCAGTGTTCAAGAAGCAAGATGAGGAGAACATAGTAACATGATGGTGAGGATGGAGCAGGTGCCTGTTGGACATACTCAGGTGGGTCACAGGCACAAAGAATAGAACCTTCCACCAGGAGAGGAACCTGAACCCGCTTCTGAACCAGCATCTGCTACACATGCTCACCCTGACTTAAGTGGCTGTTTGGGACAAATGACCAGGACAATTTGGGGGGGGGCAAGTATCCTTAAACACAAAATAGGGCAACATTATGCATTCAAGTTAAAAATTTGAAGCCGAGTTGGGCTTGGTGGCTCAGCCTGTAATCCCGCGCCTTTGGGAGGCTGAGGTGAGTGGA